AAGGCAAGCGCTCTACCACTGAGCCACCTTCCCAGCTCCCCTAGACCACATTTTTTTTCGGGGGTTGGGGGTCTGGTCGTGGGGCCTGAACTCTGGGCCTGGGCACTGTCCCTCAGCTGTTCAGCTCAAGGCTAGCATGCTACCACTTAAGCCATAGCACCACTTTCAGCTTTTTTTCTGCTTATGTGGTGCTGAGGAATCGAACCCAGGGCCTCATGCATACAAGGCCAGCGCTCTACCACTGAGCCACCTTCCCAGCCCCTAGACCACATTTTTATTTTTGTTGTTTTTTGGGTCTGGTCGTGGGGCCTGAACTCTGGGCCTGGGCGCTGTCCCTCAGCTCTTCAGCTCAAGGCTAGCACTCTACCACTTGAGCCAGAGTGCCACTTCCGGCTTTTTTTTTCTTATGTGGTGCTGAGGAATCGAACCCAGGGCCTCAGGCATGCAAAGCAAGCGCTATACCACTGAGCCACCTTCCCAGCCCCTAGACCACATTTTTAAAAAAATGATTTGAGCCCAAAGTATTCAGATCCACCAGTTTTTAACCTTTTTTTTTTTACATAATTTTTCTAATGGTTTTTGTTGATCATCGGGCTTGAACTCAGGGCTCAGGTGCTGTTCCTGATCTTTTTTACTCAAGGATAGTACTCTGCCAGTTTGAATCACAATTCCACTTGTTTTTTTGAGATGAGTGTTCTGGTAGCCAGGTACTGGTGGCTTATGCCTGGAATCCTAGCTACTCAGGAGGCTGAGATCTAAGGATTGCCATTCCAAAGCCAGCATATGCAGGAAAGTCTTATCTCCCAATTAGCTAGAAAACTGGAAGTGACACTGTGGCTCAAAGTGGAAGAGTATTAGCCTTGAGCAAAAGAGCTCAGGGACAGTGCCTCAGCCCTGAATTCAAGTCCCACAACCAACTGGGAAAAAAAGTCATGGGCCTTTCCTGCCTGGGCTGGCTTTGAACCATGCCTCTCATATCTCAACCTCCTGAGTAGCTTGGATTATAGGAGTGAGCCACCAGAGTCCAGCTGGAGGCAAGTTTTTTTTTAATGACTTACAACTCATACTAGTAACAAAAGCAAGAAGCTGGCACCAGTGGCTCATGCCTGTAATCTTAGCTACTCAGGAGGCTGAGATCTAAGGATCTCTGTTCAGAGCCATCCCAGGCAGGAAAGTCTGTGAGACTCTTATCTTCAGTTAACCACCAGAATACCGGAAGTGGTGCTGTGGCTCAAGTGGTAGAGAGCTTGTTTTGAGCCAAACCCCAGGCCCAGAATTCAAGGCCCAGGACCAGCATAAAAGAAAAAAGAAAAAGGACAAGAGACATTTGGGAAGAAAAGTTGATAAATCTAAACTGATGAAGTTTGTTCAACCAACACTAATAATCTTCCATGTGCTAAGTATGGTGTCAAGCATTTCAGATGTGTAATTGATCAATAAGACTTGAAGGGAATTTGCAGCTTAGTAAGGTGACATACTTGAACAGAACAGTATGTTGTTGGTAATTAAAAACTAAGTACAATGGGACAAGCAAGAAAGGGGGCTGGGAAGGTGGCTCAGTGGTAGAGTGCTTGCCTTGCATGCATGAGGCCCTGGGTTGATTCCTCAGCACCACATAAGCAGAAAAAGCTGGAAGTGGCTCTGTGGCTCAAGTGGTAGAGTGTTAGCCTTGAGCTGAAGAACTAATAGACAGCACCCAGGCCCAGTGTTCAGCCCCAAGACCACAAAAAAAAAAAAAAAAGCAAGAAAAGGGTCAAATCACCTACTTTGTGTGATATGGGAAGAAAGGCTGCTCAGGAATCATTAGAGCCAAGTTCTGTTAAGATACTGTCAGTGGGAACAGTGGTAATGGTCAGATTGAGCATTTACTACATGTCAGGCAGTAAGCAACATTAACCATCTCAACAACCTTTATAAAGAGACATTATTGCTGTATGCCTACCATACCTACTATAGGCTGAAACAGAAGAGACATAAGTTTGAGACCATCCTGGGTCACACCACCAAAGGAATTATTTCAGCTCAATTTTTCTCTGAAGAAACTAATGCAATGCAGAAGACAGAATTCACACAGTTGACAATTAGAATTGGTACTTAGACCCAGAAAGTCATTCCAGAGCTCCTAAACACTGCACATAAACAATGAGAAGGGAGCCAAAAAATGAGCCAAAGACTGAATTTTCTAGCATATGTAGATGACAACACAGGAATTGTCTAAATAGGATGAGCAGGTTTGGGGGAGGGGTGGGTAAAGTAATAACTTCAATTGGATAATATTGGTTGGAAGATGTGCTTAAGCAAAAAAAAGAAAAGAAAAAAACACCAGATGGATTCAATCTCCCAGAATGAGCCCTGTCTCAAAGTATCTGCCCTGAGTTACTCAAGAAATTCATGGGCTACTCAGGAGGCTGAGATTAGAGGATCGAGGTGCTAAGCCAGCCTGGGCAGGAAAGTCTATGAGACTCATCTCCAATTAACCACCAGAAAAGCTGGAAGCGGTGCTGTGGCTCAAGTGGCAGAGCATTAGCGTTGAGCTGAAGAGCTCAGGGACAGCGCCCAGGCCCAGAGTTCAGGCCCCATGACTGACCAAAAAAGAAAAAAAAAATTCTTGGGACAAATACCAGATAGTAGAGAAGAGAAAGAAGACAGCAAATAGTACTTTGGGTGAATAACAAGTAATTTAGAACAAAATAAAAAGACATGATAAGGTTTTGAAGTAAGGGATTATTTAAGTGTAGCTCAAATTATCGGTGAAGGAATTCAGAAATGTGACAACATCCTTACAGTTGTAGATAAAGATCACTGAAACCCAAGTCCTGTAATGATTTGCTTTGCCCCTTATAATATCGAACAACTCATTAACTTGGAAGAGGATAAGAACTCCCAAATTCTTCCAAGCAGCTTTTGAGGCTTAGAATTGGGAAGAGCCACATCTCTTCTGGTCCTTTGCTGCTTAATTGGAGGTAAGAGAGTCTCAAACCCAGATCTTACCTGCCTGAGTAACTAGGATAATGTTAGTCCGAGCTAACATATTTAAAAACAAACAAAAAAATAGGCCTGTAATTCTAGCTACTCAGGAGGATCCGAAGTTCAAAGAAAGCCTGGGCAGGAAAGTCTGAGACTCTGACCTCCAGTAAACTACCCAAAAAAGCAGGAAGTAGAACTGTGGTTCAAGTGGTAAAGAGAGCAAAAAGAATCTCAGGGACAGTGGTCAGGCCCTGAGTTCAAGCCCCAGACCAGCACAAAATATAAACAAAATAGTGACATAAAAGCAATTTTAGAGTCAGGCATCAATGGCTCATGCCTGTAATCCTAGCTCCTTAGGAGCAAATGCCAGAAGTGGAACTGTGGCTCAAGTGGTGGAACACTGTCTTTGGGCATAAAAATTCAGAGACAGCTCCCAGGTCTGAGTTCAACCCCTATGGGGAAAAAAAAAAAGCTGGGCCCAGTCGGTTCATATACAACCTCAGCTACTAGGGAGGTGGAGTTAGCAGTGTAGCAGCTTGAGACTAGCCCAGACAAAATTACCCTAGATCCTATTTCTTATCTCAAGGAACAAACTAGGTGTGGTTCATACTTTCATGTAATTACATTCATGTAATTCCAGCTCTCTACAGAAAGCAGATGTAAGGGGATGGAGGCCTTAGGCCAATCCTTGGCAAAGTGAGCCCTGTGTGAAAAAACTAAAGCAAAATGTACTGAAAGATGTGGCTCAAACACTTAAGATCTGAGAAATTAGTCAGATGCCAGTGGCTCACGCCTGTAATCCTAGCTACTCAGGAGGCTGAGAGCTGAAGTTTGAGGTTCAAAGCCAGCCCAGGCAAGAAAGGCCGTGAGACACTAATCTCCAATAAACCACCAGAAAACTGGAAGTGGTGGTCTAGCTCAAGTGGTAGAGCACTAGCCTTGAGCTGAAGAGCTGAGGGACAGTGCCCAGGCCCAGAGTTCAAGTCTTCAAGTCCCACAACCAAAAAAAAAAAAAAAAACACACACACACAATGAATTGATTGCAGCAGAGAAGATCACTATATAGTGGCTTTAGCTCCTTGTTGATTATAAAGTGAAGAGACAAGCCTGTAATCCTAGCTACTCAGGAGGTTGAGATCTGAGGATCCTGGTTCAAAGCCAGCCCAGGAAGGAAAGTACATGAGACTCTTATTTCCAATTAGCTGCCAGAAAACTTGAAGTGGTGCTTTGGGTCAAAGTGGTAGAGTGCTTGGGCTGGGAAGGTGGCTCTGTGGTAAAGTGCTTGCCTTGCATGCATGTGGCCTTGGGTTCAATTCCTCAGTACCACATAAGCAGAAAAAGCCAGAAGTAGCACTGTGGATTCAGCCTTGAGCTGAAGAGCTGAGGGACAGCGCCCAGGCCCAGAGTTCAGGCCCCACAAGTAACCCCCCCAAAAAAAGGAAGAGTGCTAACTTTGAGCAAAAAGAGCTCAGGCCCTTGAGTTCAAGACCAAAAAATAATTAAAAAGTAAACAGACAG